TTAGCCCCGCCCAGAGGCTGGCACCATCCTGAGACTTAGCCCCGCCCAGAGGCTGGCACCATCCTGAGACTTAGCCCCGCCCAGAGGCTGGCACCATCCTGAGACTTAGCCCCGCCCAGAGGCTGGCACCATCCTGAAACTTAGCCCCGCCCAGAGGCTGGCACCATCCTGAAACTTAGCCCCGCCCAGAGACTGGCCCCATCCTGGGACTTCGCCCCACCCAGGGTTGTGTACCTTAAATGCATGTGAGTGAGCCGCTCCATCTCCTGCTCCATGTGCTCCTGCAGCTCCCCCGGGCGCAGCAGGACCTGGCAGATGGGGCAGACGGGGGCCTGTGTGTCATAGAGTGAGGCTTTCTTTTTACCTGCAGGGAGAGAGATGGTGTGAGTGAGATGAGAGTGTGCGCCCAGCCGCTGCCCCTGGCCTCTGTGCCGAGCAGCTTGGCTTTCTCCTTCTCAGAAGCAGTCTCTCCCCCACATCTCACTTTCCCTCATTAACACATGGTTAGCGCTGGAGCCACTGAGCAAAGCCCCATACTGTATCACATTTACCCCTCATATCCTTACACAGCCAGAAGAGGGACACACACACACAGCTCTCAGGCTACTGCAGCCACCATGACGAGGAGCCTCACAGCTCATCCCCTCCCTGGCTTCTGGGTCACGCCCAAAATAGAGTGTGCTGACATCACTGAGGGCCCTAAGAAAGGGCCTGGGGCTCCAGAGCAGGAACACCCCTCAGTAAAAATAAATTCCCAGCCGGCTTCCTGACCTGTTCCAGCGGCTCTGCCGTGTTTGGCTCCCATCCCCCAGTTGGAAGCCCTATTTATATCCCCTGAAACAATGGGCCGGCCGAGCGGCAGGATGTCCTGGATGGACTGGCCATCGCCATGGTGACAGGTCGGGCCCTCTCGGCCGAGCCGCACCCTGGCATGTCTGTCCGGGGGCTCAGCTGTGTCCTTGACTCAGGACGGGCCGTGCTCTGTTTGCACTGATGAGCCCGTAATTCCAGAGGGTGATGGATCAGGGGCAGCAAGCAGACATAAACAGAGAGGCGGGCATGCCGAGCTGGCCCCGGGGGGGCCGTATCCCCCCCCCCCCACACACACACATATTGTCCTGCCACAACCGCTTCCTGCAGGAGTTCTGATTCATCAGTGTGGAGCTGCGGGGTCAATGCGAGCCCCCCCCCCAGCCGGCGGGCGTGCGGATACATACGTGGATGCGATTCCCAGCTCTGCCACTTAACAGCCACACGCGCTCGACACTTTAAGTGACTTTGAGAAATGGGTAATCGATTACAATTCCACGCGTCCTCTCCCGGCCCCCCCGCTCCCTCCCTCCTCCCTCCTGCTTGTTCGCTCTGTCTGTCTTTTCTTCGTGTCTTCCCATTGCTCTTTTCTCCATCCCAATCCTTCATTTCATTTCTGTCTTCTTCTCTCATCTCTCCCTCATTTGTCCCATTTTTCTGTGTCCTGCCTTTCCTCTGCCTCTCTTTCCTGTGTGCGCTGGGCAGCTTTATTGCCCTGACAAGATCATTTGAGTCCTGCCAGAGCAATCGCCGTCTGCGTGGCTCAGCAGGAGCAGAGTTCCCTGGCCGTCTCCACCACGTTGCTCTGCACCGCAAAGCCCACCCCCACATCTGAGGAATACATGCTGAATTATATTTACTTCAGAGACACGGCTGCTTAATGCTCTTAATATCATATGCATTTTGAGCAAACCAACATCAGAAGTGCAAGGGTGTTGCCGACAGGGTGTTACCGAATGGGTATTTGGTGTTACCCTGATGGACAGACCGCACCTCCTGCAAATACCGTGAACAGAGTGCTCATCAGCTTCTGCCTGTGTCCTTGTGCAGCTGTTTATCTAACACATATTCTCATCCCTGTACCCTTATGACTGCTTAGTCAGGAGTCAGAGCTCCTGTTGTGTATAATCAGGAGTCAGTGCCCCATGGTGTGTAATCCGGAGTCAGATCTCTCATGGTGTATAATCAGGACTGAGAGCTCTCATGGTGTATAATCAGGAATGAGAGCTCCCATGGTGTATAATCAGGAATGAGAGCTCTCATGGTGTATAATCAGGACTGAGAGCTCTCATGGTGTATAATCAGGAATGAGAGCTCTCATGGTGTATAATAAGGAATGAGAGCTCTCATGGTGTATAATCAGGAGTCAGTGCCCCTGGTGTGTAATCCTGAGTCAGATCTCCCGTGGTGTGTAATCCTGAGTCAGATCTCCCGTGGTGTGTAATCC